TGCTCCTCATCAGACTGGTGCTCCAGACCCTTCATCAGCTTTGTTGCCCTTCACTGGACATGCTCCAGCCCCTCAATGTCCTTTTTGTAGTGTGAGGCCCAAAACTGAGCACAGTATTGGAGGTGCAGCCTCACCAGTGCTGAGTAGAGGAGCACATTCACTTCCCTGCTCCTGCTGGCCACACTATTTCTGATACAAGCCGGGATGCCCTTGGCCTTCTTGGCCACCTGGGCCCACTGCTAGCCCATGCTTAGCCACTGTCAACCAGCACCCCTATGACCTTTTCCTCCAGGCAACTTTCCAGCCACTCTTCCCCAAGCCTGTAGCGTTGCATGGGTTTGTTGTCACCCAAGTGCAGGACCCGGCCCTTGGCCTTGTTGAACCTCATACAGTTGACCTCAGCCCATCGATCCAGCCTGTCCAGGTCCCCCTGCAGAGCCTCCCTACCCTCAAGCAGATCGACACTCCCACCCTATTTGGTGTCATCTGCAAATTTACTCAGGGTGCACTCAATCAATTATGTTTACTTTGGACTCAATCTCCCTTTTAATATCAGAAAGAAATTTTAACATTGCCTTTTAGGAAGGTTTTTTTTTTTTTTTAAATTTAGAAAACCTTAGAGATCCTTTGAGGGGTTAATTCTCTCATATGAACTCTTTGCTGAAGAATAAACCTCATTCTTCCCCATCTTCTTTGGCTCTTCACTTTTTTGGACTCCCTCTGATTTTAGCTTTAGGGAGCTCTTCTAGGAAGAACCTGCCTTTGACAACGAGTTTATTTTCCCCAGAACTGGAGGTCTGAGTGGGAATTAGCACCACGTGCCCATGTTCGTGGTGCTGAGGAAGTGACAGATCCTCTGTTTAAAATCCTCCCAAACAGCAAGCTCACCTCTGGGCCTTGCATTTAAGCCCACTGGCATAAGCGGCTCACACCGTGCTCTCCTCAGTCAGGCAACCTCACATATAAAAAGCGCATCTGTTGTCAGCTCAGCGTGCAGAAGAGATTTAGCTAAAAATACTTATTACTCTTTCCTTCAAGCAGAAAGCTCAAATGTTGCCTTTTTTCCCCTCGTCGAAGTGTCCAAGTGCCCATAGGGCAGAGCTTCCTATTGCCACCTTCCCAAGCAGGGGGAACACCACCGTCTGCAGGAGCAACCATGCTGGGCTTGTCATGCGAGGCAGCATTTACTCTGGCACTAGAAACTTGCAGCTTGCTGTTTTTCCCAAAAACCATCCACTTCTGTTGCTGTCTTCGGTTTCTTAGGAAACCAGTTTTCAGCCAGACTGTTAAGTCTCTGTCAGTGGGCTTTCAGCAGGCGTTCAAATTGCTCCTGAAGTAACTCCCATACTGGTTTATTAGTGGCTTCCTAAATCTTCCATCTCAAGCTTTGAAAGGATTCTGTTCCCACTGGCTTAGGAAATAATTATATAATAATTTTTTTTCATTAGGGTCACATCAGCCAAGGTTTTGTTGGTCTAATTTTAAAATTACTCAAGCCACCTGTGTTTGTTCAGTAACACTTGCGAATGAGAAAGCAAAACTGAATATATGAATATAATCAGTGAAAATTTCACAACAGAGGGCTACACTGGATCTCTGGAAAGCACAGCTCTGTGGCTTTACAAATGCTGGTCTGGTTTAAAAAATGGGAGCCCAAAGTTTAGCAAACTGAAATTTGTATTTTCTCAGCCTTTGACTTAACCTTCGGTATTTTGCCTTTGCATGTGTATGTGTGAAGCGCTGCTGCTGAGCATCCCGATGCTGAAGGTTGCACAATTCAGCCACTGGTTAGCAGTGCAGTGAAGCCAACCTGAGCTGCTGGGCGGGAATTACCTGCTCAGGTACGTCCTGACTCCGGTACTGCTGATAAGAAATCAAAGCTCACTTTCATCCCAAGTATTATTAGTTGCCAGCCACAATAAAATTTTGCACGGTTGATCTGTGCAGCTTAATGATAGCCACGAGGTCCATCTAGGTTTGTAAGGACAGCCAGGTGGCTTCTTTGAACTCCAGACAGGTTTTCCATCATGGTCTGATATAGGGAGCACGCGTGTGCGTATGGATGCACACAATGTATCTGTCAGTGCCATCTGCTGGGAGGGCAGTGGCCACCTCTTCCCTCTGCCGAACTGCCCTGTCCCAATTTTGCTCTTAAGCTGCAATATGGAGGGTAAAGAGAGGGAGTGGGAGCAGGATAGCCTGAATTTGAGGCTTTTGGCCACGGAGAGAAACAGAGTCGTTATGGTGTGAAGACAACACGGCTGAGAAGTTCCTGAGTGGCCACGGATTTGTTCATGCAGTGTATTTCATCAGGAGTCAACAAACGCTCAGAGCTTCAAAGATGAGTTGGCTTGAGTTGAGCTTTTAATGCACTTAAGCAACAAATCACTCCCGGGTGTATGGTGACTATGGTTGTTGAGAGAAAGCGGGCAAAGGCCTCTGTGCAAACTCTTTGATATTTAGCTACAAACCACCTGATGACTGTGTTTAGCAGACTTGGAAAAAGAAAGCATCTGTGCAACTAAATTTTTAGTAATAAATGAATATACACAATAAAAGAATTTGTAAAACCAAAACGATGGGCTTATTTCTGGCTAAGCTGGAGACTGCATCTCTATCTAAAACAATTTACCTGCAGTTACAGTATTTTAAGCAGCTGGCTGCTTAGCCTCTGTTCTGATACAATAGCATTTGCCATGCTCCTCTGCAAAGCTGCCACTTAAAGAGTTGTTGGGATGTTTTTTAAAAAGCCCTGGTATTTGAACACAAAATATCAGCATTTTCAGTTGCAAACAGTTACATTTACATAAGTTTTTTCATTTCAACTGAGCTGTAGTTATCCTCTAGGATTTGCTATTTGGAATGCAAAATGTGTCTATAGATGTAAAAAAGTCCCCAAACCATGGGAAATTGGGGGGGAAAAAAAGAAGAAAAAAAAGACATAATCCTAATAAACTCTTCCAAGACAACTTTCCTCTGTTTTGTAGATCTGGTGCTTTGAAAGCATGCTGCATCTGTTTTACTTGCCAGAGAAGTTCTCTTGTTTTCCCTTGTGCAAAGTGAGATTCAAATCGTATTTATTTGATATGACATGATGCCTTACAGATATGCCCAGGGTGCAAATGTCTGTGGTGAGCATCAGCATAATGCTGATTTAATTCATTTGTAAGAGCTAGGTTCCAGCTTCACCTGCAGTCACTGTGAAAAATAGCAGGAATAGCTGCAGTAGAATGACAATGTGAGGCAAAATTTAAATCAGTTTTTTGTTCATTTGGGGAAAAGCTTTATTTCTTCTCTCCCTCATTCTTGCTGGGAATGGAAAACTGTCAGGCAAGCAGAGAGATCAGCTTGGCAGCCTGCCTTGTACAGCTTTCACTAGCACGAAGGGAGGATTTGGGTTTTTTGGGCATTTTCCAGGTGCTCCTGGAACAAAGCATGCCAGTCACACTAAAGTTTCCAGTCTTCCCTGGGGGCCTTTCTGTGGACACAGAGACTTAGCCAGGAGCCCTAATGTTCTCAGCTGCTCCATCTAGAAACCTACCAGAAGTTGATCTGACAATTCAAATCTTAATTTCCCCCAGGATTTCCTTCTAAAAGAAGGCTTGCATGTATTCATTCAGGAGTTGCTGTTTGAAGTCCTAACTTTTGTTCTCTCGGGGAAGTAATTGGTGAGTAAAAAGTGGATATGAAATTCCTTCCTGCACAGAAGTATGCACTGAAAATACGCTCATCACTAACTGAAGGATGACTTCTGATATGCATTTTAAGTTGCTTAAAAGATGCAGTTGGTGTGAATGTATTCGGTGCCTTTCAATTACACAGGTCAAAGTTGTTCGGTGCAAATGCCTGCTCAACACAAGGCTGACCTGTATCTGGTTGCTCAGGACCAGGTCCAAGGATGGAGCTTCCACAACCTCCCTGGTTGCTTCAGTATTTGATCACCCTCAGATCTGATAAACCAGTTTCTGGTGTTCCAACTTGTGTCCATTGCCGCTTGACCTGCCACTAAGTGCCACTGAGCCTCTGGCTCTGCTTTCTCTGCGCCCTCCCATTAGGTAGTTGTTGACAACATCTCCTCTGATCATTTCCTTCTCCAGGATGGAGAAACCCAGCTCTCTCAGCCTCATTTAGTACATCATGTCCTCCAGGACACGAACGCTCAGAAAAAAATAAAAATCACAGAATAGAAGCATTTCAATGAAGAGTACCTAATACATGAGTTGGAGTAGCGACGTGCAAGTTTCCTCTTGCACTAGAAAACTATTACAGTCTGAAAGGCAGAAGGAAAAGCGGATGGCTACTACTCTTGCTTTCGTGTCCGTATCTTCATACCTACTTCATACCACCTACTAAGAGAAGAGCGAAGTGCCCTGCAAAAGCAGTGCAGACTGTACAAAGTAACACAAGCCACAGTAACAGAATGCTAATCGCAGCAGGAGGGAATCTCCCAGAAATAGAAAAACTGGGACAAGTACAGCAGAGGACAAAACAGTTCAGAAACAGGAATACAAAGAATATCCACCACGAGTTAGTGTGAGAGTTTGTAGTTAAGTATGTGGTCAATGAGCATGTGAGAGATTTCCTGTTGAACTGCTTCACATAAGTCTGGAGGAAACAAACAGTGCTTAAAACTCATAAAATGAGAGGAGCAAAATGTAGATTCAAGTGTTAACTTGAGGAGGTAAACACATCACGAGATAGCCTACCAAGTACTGAGGTTAATTATGCAACTGTTCTGATACACCGAGTGTTAGAAGCATCACTTTACAGGAAGTGAGTTGTCTCCTGAAGAAGGCTACTTTAAAACAAACATCAAAAAACCCTGAAGAGCCAGATCTTCCAGATTTTATTTTAAAGCTTCTTCACACTGTGATGTTTCTGTAAGCACGGCACAAAATATAGCCAGGAGATAAGATTTATCATATCTTATTTATGTTTTTTCAGGAACAGATGTGTGCACTGTAGCTATCTCCTGTAACATTCACTGTAAAACATGTCCTAAAATAAGCTGTAGCATGGTAATTGCTGAAAGGAATTCCTGTGGTCCCCCTGGCTCATGTGCAAGTGAGATTTTACTGACTTTGTATGGAACACCAGAAGGCAGTCATCACCCTGGCAGCTTTCCTTACCCCCCTAATTTCTGCAGAAGTTCCCAAACTGTTGTGAAAAGACAGACATATGAAATTTTCTTATCATTTCTCCACAGCTAAACTCCAAGGGGCTTAGAGGAATGAGAAAAACAATGAAAAAAATATGGTGCATATACTTCTTGTCTATTCCTAAAACTGCAAGAATGCATAAGTTCTTGCAACAGCTGCTTCATAAACATGCAAGGAATTCACTTGCTGTGCCCTGTCTCCAGCTGGCCTGTGCTGCAGCAGATATTCTCATTTTCCAAAATGCTTGTCTTCCCCTTCAGCTATATATATATAGTAAGTCTCTGCTGCATCACTGTCACTATACTTAATAGCTACAGCAGTGTTCTGAGAGCAGACTTATTTTTAAGGATAAGCTGATTGATGTTTGCTGATTTATTTTATATTCTACTTGATAAATACTTAAAGAAACCATTCAATTAGCTTAGAATCCAGTTTAAGCTTTTTGTGTGTGTCAAAAGAGTTCTACTTCTTGAATCCTCACTAAGGATAACAAACCAAAGAGGAATGTGATGACTCCAGGTACGACAGACCCAAGTTTTACTTTAGTAGAAGGCAGAAATGCTGATATTGGAATAGGACAGACAACAACTTAGCACTGACATTGTCTATGAGAGTCTGCACTCTGCAACCAGGACAGAAAGTATTTAAGGCGCTCAGAAAACAAACGGAATGGGTAGTACATCAAAAAAATTCCTAAAACGGCAAACCTAGTCTAGATCCCTTAAATCTATGCAAGGTGGGTTACTAGAGTAGGAACAGACAAAGCAGGAGTCTAGCAGAAGAGTTACAGCAACATTCACCTGTGTGTTTGCACAGGAATAATTACAGTACAATATATTTGAACCTTCCTGAAGTTACAAGTTTGTAGGCTGCACTAGAAAAATTCTCAGGCTAGTGTATTAACCTCATTTGGCCTTAACCAAGTGAGTCCTTGTCTCCTGGGACAAAAGATTTTGAAGCTACAATCAAATTAGTACTGAGCTACAGTACCAACACTGCAGGGCTGGAGTACAAATCTTCCTTTAAGCTTTTGTGTCTGATGTTGACATAAAGCAATTTTACTTGTGAGAAACAAATGGAAGTGCTAGTCATCAATAAAGCTTCTTAAAACTAGTTTCCCTCAGTTCTTTAAAATAAGTCTTCAGGGTTTTTTTATGTTGTACTATCACATTCTGCTAGTTACGTAACTAAAACATGCAAATAAAGTGCAAACACACTACTCTTAGCCATTATGTGATTAAGCATCTTTTAATATTTCTATTGACAAACATTGTAAGCATAACCAGAGTGAACAGTATATACTTGGAGTCTGTCCAGTGATAGACTTAAGTCACTGAACTTCTGGTTCAAGGAGAACTATTGGCATTCTAATCTCATTTTCGGTTGAGCCATGGGATGCTGTGGACTAGGACGTGTTCCAATAGTGCCAAATTCTACTCAAAACCCAAATTGTGCGTTAGTAGCCAAGGCAAACAATTATGCTGTATCATACACAGAAAGCAACTAGTATTGAACGGATAAAGTTTGGTCAACAAAGTAGTTTCACTTCTTTAATAATAATCTTTTTGCTAATAACTCAATAGGCACAACAGTACCAGTAAGCATATGAACTTTAAAATGCACAATTGCCACAGACAGTTGACTTGAATACAGTAATAGCGTTTGGTAGCAGACTTAGAGACGACTTTTAGATTCTTCCACTCTTAAATGATTTTTTATTTCCTCATCACCTAGTCATGCACTGGAGAGGAATTCCACAGCAGTCTCCTTCTCTTCAGTTAACTCCTTAGCAGTCAGATCCATCTTCTCACGAGAAAAATCATTAATAGGAAGACCCTCAACAAACTTCCAGGTCTTGTCCTGTTTGAAAATAAACAAAAAGCACTCTCCATGTGAGAACAGGCTTCATTCAGTCTGCACAAAGTAAATTTTGCAGCATAAGAAACAAAGTTTATGGCCTTAAAAAAACATATCAGGCAGAAGTTAATTTTGTTTTCAGATAAAGAACACAACCAGCACCAGCTAGCCATGCAAGATTCTACTTTTCTATCAGTACTTATTTGACAACTACTACAAAATGGTCAATAATGCTCCTGTCTGTGAAAGACTGGTAAAACCCCTGTGTCCCCAACGGCAGTCCCATACTAAAAGCACAGCTGTTAACTAGCTCATACGACAGTTCAACTAGGTCTTGCAGAAGATACTTAGATTTAAAGCCTAGTTACCTTGATCACAACAGGGAATGAATATAGCAAATCTTCAGGAACACCGTAAGAATTGCCATCAGAAATTACTCCCATGGAAACAAATTCCCCCTGAAAGCAGAAGAGGAAGAAATTAACACATTTTTCATTGCTAGAAGCAAGCAAAATTTTAATTTTCAATACACTGCATCTCCTATGACACGCTTTATTCCAGAAAAAGACAGATTCTTCCCCCTCAACACACATACACACTTGAGGTCAAAGACACCAACACCAGAATGTAATCAAAGCATTAGGCAAACAACCACTTACTCAAGAGCAACATCTTACCGCTGGAGTGCCAAACCAGATGTCCCTCACATGGTCACAGATAGCTTTGGCAGCTGACATCGCACTGGACAGCTTCCTAGCCTTAATAACGGCTGCTCCACGTTGCTGAACAGTCTGCAATTAAGAAAACCCCCTAAATTATAATGCAGCAAAATGCTAGTTTGGTCTAAACAGCATTAATAAATGCCACAAGGAAAGAACACTCTACAGACATTATTTAATTTCATCAATCAAGATGCAGTTCTATGACTAAATCAACATGGCATACAATCCAGAAATACAGTCTAGAAGAGTTCTGCCAAGACACGAACATAATGGAGTATTTCAGAGGCTGGCTCATTTCTTAGTACCTGCTTTACAGCTAGCAGCCCACTAACTGCTTTCATACCAATCAGACATTTCAAGCTTCTACCACTAAGAGACTTGATGTACGTCAACAGTAACAGATGTCTCAGAGCAACACTGGGAATTAAGTTTTCTTTGCTGAATACCAATGTGAACTACTTGCTGGTCTCAATCCTACAATATTTAACGCATAAAGTTAATTTAATTCCTGAAGATACCTGAACCTACCTTCCTATACTCAAGTTTTTATTTAGAAATTTTGTATTCAAGAATCACACTTCTTGGAATTAGAATAGCTTCTTAAACCTTGCATTTTTTTCCTTTGAATAAGTTTTGGTGAGGTTGTATGCCAACCAGACCCCAGTCTAGAAAGCAGTAGAGACTATAAAGTCTCCTTACCTTTGGCAAAACATTCTAGCATAGGACAGCATTACAACGTACCTAGAAGGCCAAACCTGCCTTGGCCATGAGATACAGCAGGATCAAGGACAAGGGCAGGTTTCTGCTTACACTCTGGCTCATGAACTTTGCTTGCCAGCATACAGTCATTTATTCTGTAGCAACAGGCATGAACTGGGATAAGCTATATCCCGGAACAAGATAGGACAGAGCACAGTCATATGACAAATCACATCCTCAGTCCCAAACTAAAGGTGCCTTGGCTAAGATACAGTACCTGGCTGTCAGCATGCCAGTAACACTGCAATACCAAGCAAAGTACAGCTACTTGGAGTCATGTTCATCAAGGGCTTTAGTTTCACTTTATATTGCATTTAGGTAGCCTGTGCTCTTGATCAATTAATACCATTATTTTGTTTTACTACCCTACATTATTACTTATTACTACCCTAGATTAAAACATTTGCAGGTGTTTTCTAGATTTTTCAGACTACTTTTCAGAAATACTGCTGATGAGGCCACAGTTTTAGCTTTGGAAAGCATGTGTGTGTGTGTATGCCCACGCATGTGCAGGGGGAGGGCTGCTGGGCTTTTTTTGGTGGGTGGGGAGCAGCAAACAGAAGATCATGCTACTTCATCTATAAAGCTGCCCCAAAAAAGCCACGGTGAACTGTCAACGGTGCTTGTGTATCAGATGACTTGCACTTAAGCTATGACCAAAATTATTTTTGTTGAATCATTTTAGCACTCTGAATGGCTTTTTCTAGTAGTATTTACTTAAGTTTCACAATGTCTTAAATTTTTCAAAAGCAAATAACTGATAGAGACAAGCTATCTGAAGATGACTTATTCTAGTGAGACAGGAAGAGCTGCTTCACTCGCTCAGTGATTTACAATTTCATATGAAATTAGGAGAAAGCAGAAGCACAGAATGACCATTTTAAAAAGGCCCAAGATCTTACCAGGATAAAGTCTCCCTTCAGCCAGCTGTCATCTTTTATAGCTTCATAAACTCCAACTTCTTTTCCTTTCACATTTACCTTCGCATGGTTAACATCTGGATATTGAGTGGAAGAGTGGTTGCCCCAGATGATTACATTCTTCACATCATTAGCAGTCACACCAAGTTTCAGAGCAATCTAATTGGAAATTAAAGACGTCCATTGTATTAACTTCAGCCTCTCAATTCATAGGCTTTTTTGAAAGCATTGCTCTGTTTGTATTTAGCAGAGACAACAGAAAGCATTCTACTTTGAAGAGGCCCCTTTTACCTGAGATTTAGCTCTGTTGTGATCCAAACGAGTTAAGCAGCTGAAGTTTTCCTTTGGTATCGATGGGGCTGACTTTGATGCGATCAGGCAGTTAGTATTTGCTGGATTCCCAACTACCACAACCTAAAAAAGGGGAAAGGGAATGTGAAACTATGAAGAAGCTATTTCTGCAAAACAGCTCCCTCAAATGAAATACATGTCTTTGCCTTCAAAGAAACTATCAAAAAGTTGTTTTCTAACATCTCTTGGATGCCGTCAACAAGATTTTTCATATGTGAGTGGTTTATAGTCACCAAGTCCTTTATAACTGCACAGAAAAATATTTTCTAGCTAGGTAACATCTTTATAATTTGACATTCAAATGTGAAAGTGAGCAAGAGTTCCAGGGAGATCTGCCCACTGACCCGCAGCCTGGCTTCAAACCCCACGCTACCAGAAACAGGGAAAGCATAACACATACACACTAGTTGGCCCACAGTGAATTCACCATCACCTTTTAAATGGTTCCTAGACTGGCTGCCACTGCTTTATATAATTGCTTTGTAATTAAGAAAGCCATAACAGTTACTTATCTCAATGTTCATAGTCGGTTAGAAGTAAAATACTGCCTGAACTTAGAACAATTTATTACTATGGAAAACTGATTTTTATTCATCCCTCATCTACTAATGCACCTCAAATGATTAGCGTCAAGCTCCATATACTCTCAATCATACAAGCTAATCTGCAAACCTCCCTTTGTATTTCCCCTTTTGAAAGTGAGTTCAGTAAATTTTCCATTACTCTGCAATAGTTATATTGATAGTTTTTTATTCCAACTGTATAAAGAAGCAAACAAGTCTTTAGAAGCAGTAGGAAGTTCATCAGCAGAGGAAGTAGACATTAAAAAGTCAGTTACAAAGCACAGTTGGAGTCTGGGTCTGAGATTAAGAGCAGTAGGAGAGCGGCCACATGACCCCATTAACTGTGCTGAAGGAATCTGAGAGAGAACAATTAAAAGCTTCCAATGCTCCAAAGCCCAAGATGCAAAAAACCTAAACAAAGCTGATTTTTTGTGCAACTGTAATTCCATATTGATACTGAAGTTAAGGGTCATTATGTTAAAGCCACAGATGGATATGAAGTAGGCAGCTGCATGTAGATAATTTAGTTCTCCCCGAGAAAAAGAGATGAGCAGAAGACTGCTTTTTATTTTTTTATATAGATTTTTTTTCTTCAGGATTGCTGGTAACCAGTTCAGAGTATGTGTGGACTACAGCAACTACAACTTACCTTTTTCACCACACGAATTATGGACTAAATCATCTACCTATTTAACATACGATATCTCACTTAAACTTGACTGTGGTATATTTTCCAGGGTTTAAGGAAAGGAATGTCTGCACTGAATAGACTGCTGCTTGCGTAATGTCATTCTAAAATGTATTTAGATCCCTACATAACTCAAGGAGTTAACTTTTAAAATTCAGTTTCTGTATTCACCTTGACAGTCTTTTTGGCATACTTGTCCAAGGCTGCACCCTGAGACTTGAAAATTTTCACATTTGCTTTGAGTAAATCCTTCCTCTCCATGCCCTCTCTCCTTGGCATGGAGCCAACCAGAATTGCTATGTCAAGGTCTTTGAATGCAACTTCCTCCTTGTCTGTCGGAATGACCTCTAAAAAAAAGGAAACACAGGGGGGAGGGAAAAAAAAAATCTAAGTAAAATAAATACTTATGGCAAAGTGTTAACTGGAATATTCTTTGGTTCATAAATAGTATATAATCTGATCTGACTACACCACCACCTTCCCCTCCCAAAAATACATGTGTAGTCATTTGGCCCTAACTCCACAGATTAGAAATGGTTTACTGGCAAGTATTTATATACAAATATTTATCTAAAGCTTTACATATACATTCTGAAAACACAGGAGAAATCTATGTCAAAAGATACCTTTCGCTATCTGTCTCTAAATATATACACATATGTATGTATGCATGTATGCATATGTGCTGTTCTTCACTTTTACAAAAAAATTCTTAGTGGCAACTACCAACACAAATGAAGCTTTCCTCTCCCTTTAACAATTCAAACTAAAGAATGTTTGCTTTGTACAGGTGCAAGAGCTGGTAGCTACACGTTTTTTAACTACTGTAATAATTACAATAGCATCTACTGGCTCTCTTCTGCTTGTTTAGATTTAACAGAACTTTTTCAATTTGTGTCTTTTTGCAGAAGGTATTTCTAAAGACTAGAATTATTTTTTTTACTTAGTAAAGGCACGTAAGCATATCTAAAGATTCATTGTTATTTTACCACTAGACCAGAACACAATGCACAAATGCACAAGTATCTGACAATCTGTTGCACATGCTGACAACCCAGGATTAGAAGATACAAACCAAAATCCAGGCATCTGCACAGTCAATTCTTTACACAAAACTCATTTGATGACATTCTTCCTAGCTTACAGCCTAAGCTAAATTAACTTATCTTCCATAAAATATAAAACCAACAAAGGATCATGTATTATTTTCTGCTTAACTTCCTGCCAGCTACAGGAACTCATAAATGCAATAGTTGTACTAGAACATTTTGTAGGTATAAGAAAAATTTCTTTTGGACACCTCTCAGCAGCGGTAGAGCACAATCCTGCAGCTCCATCACTACGCCTTCCAATACAGTCATCATGGGGGTGATATCCAGCAGCACAAGAACAAGAGGCTGCAAAGAAAGAAATGGTTTACTGCAAGTTGCATGTAATCTGTTTTGAAAATTAATTTGTCCTGTTATTTGCTAGACCTGAAGATACCTGAACCTACCTTCCTATACTCAAGTTTTTATTTAGAAATTTTGTATTCAAGAATCACACTTCTTGGAATTAGAATAGCTTCTTAAACCTTGCATTTTTTTCCTTTGAATAAGTTTTGGTGAGGTTGTATGCCAACCAGACCCCAGTCTAGAAAGCAGTAGAGACTATAAAGTCTCCTTACCTTTGGCAAAACATTCTAGCATAGGACAGCATTACAACGTACCTAGAAGGCCAAACCTGCCTTGGCCATGAGATACAGCAGGATCAAGGACAAGGGCAGGTTTCTGCTTACACTCTGGCTCATGAACTTTGCTTGCCAGCATACAGTCATTTATTCTGTAGCAACAGGCATGAACTGGGATAAGCTATATCCCGGAACAAGATAGGACAGAGCACAGTCATATGACAAATCACATCCTCAGTCCCAAACTAAAGGTGCCTTGGCTAAGCTACAGTACCTGCCTGTCAGCATGCCAGTAACACTGCAATACCAAGCAAAGTACAGCTACTTGGAGTCATGTTCATCAAGGGCTTTAGTTTCACTTTATATTGCATTTAGGTAGCCTGTGCTCTTGATCAATTAATACCATTATTTTGTTTTACTACCCTACATTATTACTTATTACTACCCTAGATTAAAACATTTGCAGGTGTTTTCTAGATTTTTCAGACTACTTTTCAGAAATACTGCTGATGAGGCCACAGTTTTAGCTTTGGAAAGCATGTGTGTGTGTGTATGCCCACGCATGTGCAGGGGGAGGGCTGCTGGGCTTTTTTTGGTGGGTGGGGAGCAGCAAACAGAAGATCATGCTACTTCATCTATAAAGCTGCCCCAAAAAAGCCACGGTGAACTGTCAACGGTGCTTGTGTATCAGATGACTTGCACTTAAGCTATGACCAAAATTATTTTTGTTGAATCATTTTAGCACTCTGAATGGCTTTTTCTAGTAGTATTTACTTAAGTTTCACAATGTCTTAAATTTTTCAAAAGCAAATAACTGATAGAGACAAGCTATCTGAAGATGACTTATTCTAGTGAGACAGGAAGAGCTGCTTCACTCGCTCAGTGATTTACAATTTCATATGAAATTAGGAGAAAGCAGAAGCACAGAATGACCATTTTAAAAAGGCCCAAGATCTTACCAGGATAAAGTCTCCCTTCAGCCAGCTGTCATCTTTTATAGCTTCATAAACTCCAACTTCTTTTCCTTTCACATTTACCTTCGCATGGTTAACATCTGGATATTGAGTGGAAGAGTGGTTGCCCCAGATGATTACATTCTTCACATCATTAGCAGTCACACCAAGTTTCAGAGCAATCTAATTGGAAATTAAAGACGTCCATTGTATTAACTTCAGCCTCTCAATTCATAGGCTTTTTTGAAAGCATTGCTCTGTTTGTATTTAGCAGAGACAACAGAAAGCATTCTACTTTGAAGAGGCCCCTTTTACCTGAGATTTAGCTCTGTTGTGATCCAAACGAGTTAAGCAGCTGAAGTTTTCCTTTGGTATCGATGGGGCTGACTTTGATGCGATCAGGCAGTTAGTATTTGCTGGATTCCCAACTACCACAACCTAAAAAAGGGGAAAGGGAATGTGAAACTATGAAGAAGCTATTTCTGCAAAACAGCTCCCTCAAATGAAATACATGTCTTTGCCTTCAAAGAAACTATCAAAAAGTTGTTTTCTAACATCTCTTGGATGCCGTCAACAAGATTTTTCATATGTGAGTGGTTTATAGTCACCAAGTCCTTTATAACTGCACAGAAAAATATTTTCTAGCTAGGTAACATCTTTATAATTTGACATTCAAATGTGAAAGTGAGCAAGAGTTCCAGGGAGATCTGCCCACTGACCCGCAGCCTGGCTTCAAACCCCACGCTACCAGAAACAGGGAAAGCATAACACATACACACTAGTTGGCCCACAGTGAATTCACCATCACCTTTTAAATGGTTCCTAGACTGGCTGCCACTGCTTTATATAATTGCTTTGTAATTAAGAAAGCCATAACAGTTACTTATCTCAATGTTCATAGTCGGTTAGAAGTAAAATACTGCCTGAACTTAGAACAATTTATTACTATGGAAAACTGATTTTTATTCATCCCTCATCTACTAATGCACCTCAAATGATTAGCGTCAAGCTCCATATACTCTCAATCATACAAGCTAATCTGCAAACCTCCCTTTGTATTTCCCCTTTTGAAAGTGAGTTCAGTAAATTTTCCATTACTCTGCAATAGTTATATTGATAGTTTTTTATTCCAACTGTATAAAGAAGCAAACAAGTCTTTAGAAGCAGTAGGAAGTTCATCAGCAGAGGAAGTAGACATTAAAAAGTCAGTTACAAAGCACAGTTGGAGTCTGGGTCTGAGATTAAGAGCAGTAGGAGAGCGGCCACATGACCCCATTAACTGTGCTGAAGGAATCTGAGAGAGAACAATTAAAAGCTTCCAATGCTCCAAAGCCCAAGATGCAAAAAACCTAAACAAAGCTGATTTTTTGTGCAACTGTAATTCCATATTGATACTGAAGTTAAGGGTCATTATGTTAAAGCCACAGATGGATATGAAGTAGGCAGCTGCATGTAGATAATTTAGTTCTCCCCGAGAAAAAGAGATGAGCAGAAGACTGCTTTTTATTTTTTTATATAGATTTTTTTTCTTCAGGATTGCTGGTAACCAGTTCAGAGTATGTGTGGACTACAGCAACTACAACTTACCTTTTTCACCACACGAATTATGGACTAAATCATCTACCTATTTAACATACGATATCTCACTTAAACTTGACTGTGGTATATTTTCCAGGGTTTAAGGAAAGGAATGTCTGCACTGAATAGACTGCTGCTTGCGTAATGTCATTCTAAAATGTATTTAGATCCCTACATAACTCAAGGAGTTAACTTTTAAAATTCAGTTTCTGTATTCACCTTGACAGTCTTTTTGGCATACTTGTCCAAGGCTGCACCCTGAGACTTGAAAATTTTCACATTTGCTTTGAGTAAATCCTTCCTCTCCATGCCCTCTCTCCTTGGCATGGAGCCAACCAGAATTGCTATGTCAAGGTCTTTGAATGCAACTTCCTCCTTGTCTGTCGGAATGACCTCTAAAAAAAAGGAAACACAGGGGGGAGGGAAAAAAAAAATCTAAGTAAAATAAATACTTATGGCAAAGTGTTAACTGGAATATTCTTTGGTTCATAAATAGTATATAATCTGATCTGACTACACCACCACCTTCCCCTCCCAAAAATACATGTGTAGTCATTTGGCCCTAACTCCACAGATTAGAAATGGTTTACTGGCAAGTATTTATATACAAATATTTATCTAAAGCTTTACATATACATTCTGAAAACACAGGAGAAATCTATGTCAAAAGATACCTTTCGCTATCTGTCTCTAAATATATACACATATGTATGTATGCATGTATGCATATGTGCTGTTCTTCACTTTTACAAAAAAATTCTTAGTGGCAACTACCAACACAAATGAAGCTTTCCTCTCCCTTTAACAATTCAAACTAAAGAATGTTTGCTTTGTACAGGTGCAAGAGCTGGTAGCTACACGTTTTTTAACTACTGTAATAATTACAATAGCATCTACTGGCTCTCTTCTGCTTGTTTAGATTTAACAGAACTTTTTCAATTTGTGTCTTTTTGCAGAAGGTATTTCTAAAGACTAGAATTATTTTTTTTACTTAGTAAAGGCACGTAAGCATATCTAAAGATTCATTGTTATTTTACCACTAGACCAGAACACAATGCACAAATGCACAAGTATCTGACAATCTGTTGCACATGCTGACAACCCAGGATTAGAAGATACAAACCAAAATCCAGGCATCTGCACAGTCAATTCTTTACACAAAACTCATTTGATGACATTCTTCCTAGCTTACAGCCTAAGCTAAATTAACTTATCTTCCATAAAATATAAAACCAACAAAGGATCATGTATTATTTTCTGCTTAACTTCCTGCCAGCTACAGGAACTCATAAATGCAATAGTTGTACTAGAACATTTTGTAGGTATAAGAAAAATTTCTTTTGGACACCTCTCAGCAGCGGTAGAGCACAATCCTGCAGCTCCATCACTACGCCTTCCAATACAGTCATCATGGGGGTGATATCCAGCAGCACAAGAACAAGAGGCTGCAAAGAAAGAAATGGTTTACTGCAAGTTGCATGTAATCTGTTTTGAAAATTAATTTGTCCTGTTATTTGCTAGAAACTGCTATCTTGTGCAAGACTTAAAAACCTTTTACAGAAAATTGAAAAACTTCAGCACGACCAACAACTGAAAGCTTGCATAACAGAGCAAGACCCCATTTTCACCACTTAAAGACTAAATTACTTGCATATTGGTAAACCACTCTTGAGTGTCTATGAGAAAACAAGTCTCAGGGACCGCAGTTCTGACATAAGCTTATTCATTACTGCGCAGCAGAGACAAGTGATAATTCAGTGTAAGAGTTACCTGTTCTTTGCCAAAGACATCTCCTTTGGCAATGCTGTAGAGCAGCGAGTAAGCAATCTGCCCGGCAGCTCCAGTCACCAGGACTCTGATCGGTTCACCCTGCAAGAAAGTTATGGAGACTTACCCACCACAGTTATATAGTGCATGTTCACACCATCTGAGAGCAGTAAAAATTAATAGTTACTACAGAAATAAGGTTATGATGGATGAAAGCACGTGCCTAAATGTGGATCAGGGCCAGCTCCTGGGATCACATTTCTGTTCTGCTAGAACCAACAGCAATTCTTCTACTTGCTTTTACACAGGCCATACTTGGAAAAATATCCCTAAGAATTGTTCCTGGAAAAGCCTCCAAAATGCCAGGAACGACAATCTATTTGAAAACCTCTGTATTCCTTTTAACAATGCTGACTTTTTAGCATAAGGTGTTACAACACTCATTAGATTACCCATTCATACTTCAAGCTTACTGCAGAAGTTTTACAAGCTGCCACACTTCACCAGTTTTCAGATTTTTTCAATTTTGAACGCTTACTTGCAACCAAACACTTAAGTGTCAGAAACCAAGGAATCTAGTGGACTTACAACTACTGCCTCACTAAACTGTTATGCAGCAATTTAACAAATCCACAGACAAAAGCTACATTATGGACAAATACAAACACTAATATCCATAGTACAACTGTCCACTCTCAAACTGACCCAAAACTCTGGAAGACCGGGAGAAAACTGCCAACACGTTGCTATATTGCAAATAGGGGAAAAAAAATGCCTTACCCTATAGCAAAAGTCCATTTTGTTAAGCAGAACCAGGACTTGGGAAACTCCAGAGGCTATTTAATATTGAAAAGGGAAAACATGCCAAAGGACATTCATAACCCAATATTTTGTAAGCCTGTTTTTTGTATCTCCCTTTTTCCCTAGAGGCAATAGGGCTGGGGCAGATTGTGCTAGGACAGGAAGAACCAGACTCTGACCAGAATCCCCTGCTCACTTTTTCAAATAATTAAAAGATGATCATTTGAATTATGGACAAAACATCTTCCACATTCAATTATGTCTGAAGTGATTTAACTGCATACTGGGCTACATTATTAAAAGTGTAGCTTACAGAGCAAAGGCAGGCATTTCACTTAGCCCTGGTAGTTGCAGCTGGAATGGAGTCCAGTTTTGGGACCCTGAGCTTCAGAGGGATGTTGGAAAACTAAGAGAGGGTCCAGGCAAGCATTATTCAGATGGTTGGGGCCCAGAGTTCGTGTCCTGTAAGATGAAGCTGAAGGAGCTGGGCATAGACTGGAAAGGTAGAGGACAAGGGGTGGTCTAACAGCAGCCTACTATTACTTTGAGAAAGACTACAGAAATAATGCTGCTGAACACCTCTCAGTGGTGGCAGATAGCAGAACATGGGGCAACAGCTACAAATTAAGAGAAAAATTCTTGGTTACAGTAGTACTGCTGCACTGGAACAGGGTATCCAGAGAGTCTGTGCAACCTTCATCCTTGGCGGTTTTCAAGACCCAGACAAAGAAACACGTATGACCTGATATAGCAGTGGCAAAAGCCTCTGGACAGCGTCCAGACTCAGAGCAAGAAAGAGGTCAGACAGGATGACCTCTAGAGATCCTTTCCAACCAACATTCCCATCATCGATATTTATAGGAAAACCATTTTGGGATTTGAGTGTATTCTCTATGCAGAATTGACCAGCCAAGCACAGCTGCATCAAGCTATCATTGGATAACTATAAAAATGAGTCCACCTACCCCATTTTACTAGACAAAATAAGAGCATAAATGAAGTTGAACTACTGAACTCACGGATTTAGACCTCAACATAATTTTGCCTTCATTATGGTAATGATTCTTTAAGTATTTGGTTAAATGGCTATCAGTTATGGTATTGAACTGCATTATTTTCTTTTGAACTGGTCCTACTGCAAGACTCATCCCTCAAACCTTCTCAAAACTCCATGAGGAAGGGGAAGGAGAGCAGACAACCTGTTATTGCTGGTTTAAATCTCAAAACTAGTTTGGGTGCAGTGCTCTTGAGTAGGGAAGTTATACTGTGCAAATGTACCATAATGTCTGAATGATGATGGCCAGCACAGATCAAGATGTGTATCAGATTTTAAAGCCAACTTTTCAGCATGTTTTTAAGGAGGACCTATATTTTATTTATGTAAAGGGAACAATGAACACTTTTTCAAGGCAGCTGATCTTATTAGGTTGGAAAACAAGTAATGGAAAATTACTGTGCTGCAAAGCTTTAGCCTGGCAAAATCCCATATCAGCAGCATATAAAAAGTGATCCCATGCTAAGCATGCTACTCCAGAACTCCCACAGATAACAGCAGAACACATTTCCTTTGAATTACATGGTATCCGAAATCAATTGTGAATTGATTTCTGAATTTCCAGGGTATGGAACAAAGACTTTAAGAAGTTAGGCTCTTTCTCCTTTGCGACCTGTGAACCAATCTAAAGTAGTGCTACAGAAGGGGGAAAGTCAACAAGATTTTTTTCCATTATATACACTTTATATGCTAATCCAATTTAAACATAAAAAATGTCAATCTACAGTGAGTATTTAGCATAATAGCAGGAGAGTGAAGGAGTGGAAGACAAAAAGGCAAGAGGTAAGACTTTGTTTTTACTAAGACAGACTTAACATTTAACTTTGTTAAAAAAAAGAAATCCTCAGTCATGACTCAGCTCCACTCTCTCAAAATTATGTTTGCTTACTACCACCCTTCCTGTTCTCCCCTCATTTTGGGCCAGAGGAGGGAGGAAGAAACATAGACTAAAATAAAGTGAGGAGTACTGCCTACTTGTTTGTTTTTTTCTCTCCAAGCCTTCAGTGCATTGGATTCACATACAAGCTTTCCCTTGAAGCCCCTCACCCCTGCACCAACTGAGAGCAATTAGCATCAAAGAAATTTTCATGCCGTCTCTTGATTCCAGGAGCTAGATTAACAAGCCAAAAATGTTGTGCTTCTTACAAAACACAGTTAACTCTCCCTGGAAAACTTACATCACATCTAAAAATCAGTATCACTGAATATCCGAGGCTACTTTGGGAGGTTGGACGTTTACAGAAATTAGTTGCTCCCCAGTGGAAGTTGTGGGCTCCACACATTCATGTTCAGGCACTTTAATCCGTGACTTGGCTCCTGCACTGCACTTCGATAAGAATACTTTCATGCTGTGGTAACTACAGAGGTGACCTTTACTTACTCTCAGGTACAGAAGAACTAGAGGACAAATTAAACAACATCTAACTGAACTATCTAGTTTCAAAGCCTTCCCCACTTCACATGCAGCTGATGTATAGTTAAAAATCTTTTAGGAAACTGAAAGAGTAGTAAAGGTAATGATAAAAAAGAAAGGGGAAAAATAAAGTGAACATTGCATCCCCATATACCCTTCTCCCTCTAATTCAGCACACATGTAGGATTTCTCTCCCTCCTAAATTATCACAGATATAACTAAAACTTCCAATAGCAAGTGAGGAAGGTGTGGGCTTAATGCCCTCCCCCTGCACAGACTTTGGCTTAAGAACGCAGTGCCTAAATTATCTCTGTGATTACTGCTGATACTAACACTACACTGCAAAATTGATTCAGGTTACAAAGCTAAGCAAAAGTGTAATATGAAATAACCCACAATTTATCAAATGTAGGAACAAGAAAATCTATGTCCTGTCTACACAAGGGACGGACTTTGCACTACAAATTACAGTTATAAAAGACCTCTATAAACATCATTACTGATAAACTTAACTGTCCATAAAATATCATCAATCTAACATTACTCCTGAATATTGAAGCCAACTAAGCTATTTCACCTTGCTTGACAAGAATGCTTTAAGCATTAAATTAAACCATGTCTCCTCAAAAGTCTAGAGCCTGCCTAACAAACTGTCCCTTTGCTCTTCCCTCTTTAAAGCAGAGTTGCAGTAACAATAAATGCATTTGAAAGTGTGATAGAAAGTATTGGCAAGACAGTTGTGCATTTTAGCAACCCCATCAGCGCTGTGGTTCATAGACTGAATTCCAAAGGAATGCTTTCCTTAAGAAATGACCTTGAGACAGGTGCCCTTAAAAACTTTTTCCATTTCATTTAACCAGTAGCAGTTGCATCAACAGACGCATGAAGTTTAAAGCCTTTGCCCAACTCCAAATGCATAATTAGAACAGTGAACATAAGATAAAAACCAGTGACATTCTAAAGAGTCTGGGCATCAAAGTTAGTTTCAAATAGCAGTTCTCCTGGAGACCAGCAAAGTCATGGCAGCCAATGCTTCGAAAGCTCAAGTACAATCTAAAACTTGCTGCCCTGCGGTCACTCCTGAGAATCCACATTTTGAATAGAAACAGGAGTGGAGAATTAGGATAGATAAGGTTTACAGATTTCACTATTTTTTAGCATATAGCTGAAATAATAAGCCACCTTTCAGAGCACACAAGCATCTTTTCTACAGCAAAGTACCAAAAGAAAAGGTTTGAATAATAGGGTATAAAGTCTAGAAAAACCCAGAGATTTTTCATGATTATGAAGGAAAGCAAGGTCTCTGCGCAACTTTGTGTGTGCACATATATATATGCCACAGAAAAGCAAGTCACTCTGGTTCACCTGTGTAACCTCAGGACAAGAACTAGGACTCCTCGACAATTTGGAGAGCCTACACGAATAGCTGGATTTCTGGCAGCAAGCAGGGATGAAACACGGGAGGAAAACATTTTACAGGCGTTTCCCCTTGAGCTAACGCAGAATTGCCCCCAAAACTTTAAATTACCCGTGCAGCTAAGGAGCAGGCACCCCCACCTCCTCGAAGGCAACGTCGCCAAGCACGGGGCTCAGCGAGGCGCCGGCTTTAGGAAAAGGCGCGATTAAGCCGCTGAAGGTGCAGGGCCAGCGCCAGGCCAGGGAGGTTCGCTCCCCTCCGCTCCGCCCCGCCCCGGCGGGGTGACCCCGGCGGCACCACAGGCTGACTTCCCCCGCACGCCAGCGAAGAAGGGGCAGAGGCGATGCTAGGCCGGCATCGCAGGGGCCGACCCCGACCCCTAAGCGCCCCCGCTGGAAGAAGGTCACCCCGGCACG